GTCTTATGCAGGACTTAATTTGATCATGGGGCATCTTTGGTGTGCAAGTCGTGGACATGGCAAGTCAGAAGAGGCTCTTGATCGAGGACCTCGAGACAGGACACCTTCTGCTTAAGGTCTTTCAGGCAACAAACCCTGTAGTCATCGGTGCTGAGGAAGGAATCTGTCAATCAAGGACCTACACAAATGTCGACCTCCAGCTGAAAAAAGCTCCCGCCCTCAACGATTGCTTCCGTCCGGATCCCCAGTCGATATTGCAGGGCAAGCACGGGATTCACATTGAGTTAATTAGCATGTGGGGCTTCTTAATACAAAAAACGATATCCCCTTACTTCTTTGGTGGAGGTCCGTGTGTTCAGGACCCAGGGTCTGTACTCACTCAAGGTCTCCAGCCTTCTGAAACTCCCGACATGTATGAGTCGTGGAGTTGCGTGATGGTTCTCTGCAGTCCTTGGAAAAGAACTTTACTGGTGACACCCACTGCGACACAAGAACCAACTACAGCAAGCATTGACACCAACTTCTTAATCAGCACCGTTACCAGTCCTGAAATACACTCCACATTGCCTTGGCGTTGAACAGAGTAGTTCTGGATCGTCAGACCAGCAATGAAGCTATGTTGCCCCGAGAAGCCCTCAGTGGAAAAGCCTCTTGAGCTCTAAGCCAAAGAAGCGCTCGCTTTTTGATTTTCCGCGGCAGCCTGGCAGTAAGGCACGGTGCAACCGGTTAAGCTAGGCCAGTTGCATCGTTTCCGTCCACCTTCCCCCACATCATAACCTATACTGAACTTAGAACCCTAGCAAAAATTATAATTTAGCTGTTTCTTAGGGATTATAATAACCAAAAATTAAAAACTATTTCTAAGTACCCCTAAGTAATTTTGAACCTCCGAACACTGACATCTCCAAAGGGCTCCGATGGTGGAGCCCCACAAGCATTGATTAGCCATGATTCCTTCAGTAAGAAGAGTAACCCTGGAAACGCCTAGCCCGAAATCCTACAAGCCTAAACCCAAGAATGCTAGAGCCCTAAAGCCTAATTTCCGGTGCAACAGCCTTTCAGAGTCGGGAGTTCGACACCGTGTACAGCCTGCCGCCAGGGCTTGGGAGCTAGTTTTTGGCTGGAGAATGCCACGAGCCCGATAGGGCTTAGGACTTGGTAATTTAGGCAGTTTCGGCGCTCACACTCGGACAATCCAGGCGAGGCATGTGGTTCGGAGTCTGACAGAGTGAGACAGTCTAACGGGACAGTCATGCTAAGGATCAAGCAACATGGTCATTTAGGCGGTTTAGGGTTTCGGATACAGGGGCTTAGCGTTCATGGTCCAGGAATGCAGGGGTTTGGGGCAGCTTGGGGCTCGAGGGAGCGCGGTACTCCTTGATTAAGGAGAGTGCTTGAAAGTCTGGTGGCGTCAGATCCAGGATCTACAACGACGGGTCCGATGGAGTTGTTCCTGTGCATAATCACGTGTAGGTTGGCCGTTGAAGATTCCTTGAGGGGGCCGAAGCTCTGCAAGACAAGCTCAGAGGGCATGCATGCAGGAAGGCAGGAAGTCGCTTGATGCATGCCGCGTCCATGTTGCCCTCTTCCCTTAAGCCCAGAGAGCCCAATACCCCTTAACTGAGGAATATAGCTTAAACCATAATATGAAGCCGATTTAAGGTATATTCCTGAATTAAGGGGTATTGTGCTCTCTGGGAACCTTGCAGCATTTCAAATTCGTATCTTCAGGCTTCGAATGCGTGTTGAGCCACCAAAAGCCATGAGCATTAACTTAGTTGCTGGGCTCATAAGCCCCGTAAAGTGCACAATTTCAGTTTTATAATTATAGTGGGTAATATGATCCCGAAAAGTGTAAAGTCTACTACCCACTCAGCTACTAAGTTAGCAATGCTTGTAGGTTCCAAGCTTCCGGTCTGGAAAGAGAGGCGGCACCAACCTAGGCCAGAACCGCAGCCTGAAAGCCCAAAGCTCCACCTCTCCCACGCAGAAATCCGAAGCCTCGAAGCAATGCATGACTTAGGTACTGCCCCCATACAGCAAAATAGGGCTACTATTAAGGTCCTACTATATCTATATTATGAATAATATTCAACTATTACTGAGTCGGGGCCGTACCCAATGCATGACCTTTTTTGACCCGTGACGGCGGCGGCAGCGAAGTTACGGAGGCAGGCTCAGACACACTGAGCTCAATCGACCAATCTGCCGCTCAGCTCATAACCCCCTGAGGTTGAGTCTCATGATGTGCATAGGTTCTTGTATGAGTACTCGCATATGTAGGGAGCAAAGAATGGATACAGAAGCATGACACACACACACACACACACAAATCGGATTTCAACCACTTCTGCCTGAGACTTAGTCCAGAGCTTGTCACACTTTCTCAGATTCAAGATCAAGGCAATCTCAACCCGAAGAACGCCTGCCTACACTAGGACGACGAAGATGTACATACAGCTAGCCGGGATCAGTGCTTTCGACTCCGCAAGCTCAAGCGATTGTTGTATCTTACAAGCCCTACAGGACTTTCTGCAACAGTTTGCTGCAACCACCGAGCCTGAAACAGTTGAAACGTTTAAGACAGACCAAAAAGAGGAGGCCAGACAGTTTTAAGTTCCCCCATTGCCCATCTGTGGCATCTAGTATAGTATAGCGTAGTATAACATAGCATAGTATGCTAGAGTATAGCAAAAGACAATAGAATGCAATGTGATGCGTTATGTTCGTAACGTAAACTTTGCCGACTCACAGTCGCATCGTTGGCGTCAGCTTGGCAAAAGGGGGCCGCAGCCCCGGAAGCTGCCAAGTACTGGTAGCTGGGGGAGTTTTCCGAAACTCTACCCAGGATTCGGCAAGCCCAGGAAGCGGAACAGTGGGTTCAAGGCTCAATCTTTGGTGTTTTGTGTGTGAGATCAACCCCTGTAGCTTGAGTCTGCTCAGGCTTTATATACCGGGTTCCCAAAACATCGCAGACACTACAGGCAAGGTATGCATGGCCATTGACGAATACCTCGGGCAAAAGGCTTGCACGTCCAAAGTTCAAGCTTTCGGATGGGGCTTAGGATGTTTAGGGTTGAGGTCGTTTCACATGTCTGATAAACACGAAGTGAAGCTTCACAAGTGTTCATGTTGCGTCCGGAAGCAACTGTATCTACCCTGGTCACGCGAGATGCATCCGAAGCGAAGTTGGAGGCAAAAGGGTCTACTATAGGGTCATAAGAATCAGACTATCGTTTTAGGGTATCTTATACCATATTTATACTCAGGAATTATTTCCCCTTCCGCGAATTCGTACTGGTAGGGTTCAGGGTATACCTCCGAGGCACCGCCCGTCTGTTTGCTGCAAACGGGATGCCGCTTCCTTTGGCTTGCGTAGTCTGCAGCAGGTCTTTGCCAAGTTGGGACGTGCTTGATCTCCCTCGTAAGACTCTCAAGAATCTTCGATTTGAACCTTTGCTCCAGGCGATCGTCAGCCCTCTGTCGATCATGGTCCCCGACAAGCTTCCTGAATCACATCTCGTTGAAGCTCACTCAGTATCTGGACAGAGTTCTAGATTTGGGTCAGGATCGAACCCGCTTGGCCCTGCTGTGGTGCATCGCTAGGGCATGCGCTCAGATGGCGCTGCCGATTTCTCGACGTTGGTCCTTGCTTAACCCAGGGCGGCAATGCTGTCGGAAGCCACTGTTTCACATGTTCTGCCATCATACACAAGCCGATTCCATCACTAAACCCCTACAGGCCCTATGAAGACTGAACCCCCTCAAATGCCCAACCCCTTCGGCCCTGCTCCTCCTGAAGACTAAAAACAATGCATAGGGATTTCGACTCCCACGGGCGACGCGGGATTGGCTGGTTGAGGGCTCATTTTCCGTAAAGCTTTGCTGATCGGGTTAAGGGTTTCAGTAGAGATTCAGCCTACACCGAGGGTCTACAGTTTCGAACCCTGCAGCCTGCAACCCCTTAGCGATTAGTTCGCAAAGCAGCTCTAGAGTTCGACAAGATTTTGACGTCCAGTCGAACCAGGCTCCTTTTTTGTGGGGGGATGAATGCTTTAGTGTCATTGTATAGTGTATAGGGCAGTGTAGGGACTGCGGGTGATTCAGAACTCCCAAGTACTCGGCTTCATCCTCCAAACGGACTGAGAATAGAGAAAGAGTGGTATGTCATACCGGGCATGTCGTAGGGCACCACGAAAACCGGAGTACATCAGCAACACGGGTAAGACAAAAAACCTGTCCAGGGAATGAGCTCGCGAAGAAACCGGGCACTGTGAGATCCGCACAAACCGAAATCTGCCTGACACTCACCCGGAAACAAAACCAGAAACTCCACAAGACTTACCTTTGGTTAGTAGGGAATGGAAGAATGGTAGTAATAGTAGTTATAATTTTACCCCATTCCTCCATTCCCACTAACCCAAGGGAAGAAGAATAGCTTCAAATTCCTCGTCGAGACACAGGTTCCGCCAATATGTGCTTGTCGTTTTGCGGTCCCGCTCCTCAACCCCTCTTACCTCCAACTCGAGCCAACCCGAGGCGACAAACTGAACGCCCGACGACGACGACGACTCCTACTCCTACTCCTACTCCTACTCCTACTCCTACTCCTACTCCTACTCCTACTCCTACTCCTACTCCTACTCCTACTCCTACTCCTACTCCTACTCCTACTCCTACTCCTACTCCTACTCCTACTCCTACTCCTACTCCTACCCTACTCCTACGCTACTACTACTGCTACACTGCTACTGCTACTGCTACTGCTACTGCTACTGCTACTGCTACTGCTACTGCTACTGCTACTGCTGCTGCTGCTGCTGCTCCTACTACTACTACTACTACTACTACTACTACTACTACTACTACTATTACTGCTGCTACTACTACTACTACTACTACTACTACTACTACTATTACTGCTGCTGCTACTAAAACATCAGAAACATCATGCCAACTTACCATGCTTTAGACACCCCGGCAAGGGGAATTCGTCGTCCTCAGCGCACGGGGCCCCGTGGTGCTGCTTGCGCAGTGTGACGTAGCTCGACTCGTTCCTCGAGTTTCGGGGGTTGTCCCAAGTCCACCCAAAGGCCCCAAAAAAAGGATAGGGATATCCCATATAAATTCATTATAATGAAGCCCAACAAGGTAGGGATATCCCCAGAAAATGCTTATGCTCATGTGCTTTTTGGGTCCCTAACCAAAGGCCCTCTAACAGAGCCCTTGCGGTCCTTGATAATGTATAATACAGGGTAGTGGGGGGTCTAGGTTGGTTTTCGGATTTGTTTTCAGGTTTTGGGGTTTCTGGTTGCGCCTACGTGGTTTGGGTGTAGGTTTCGGCTGTAGGCCCAGAGCCCCCCCCAAAGTGCGCGAAATACCATGTTAACACCCATAAGTCGCTATGATTCTATATCGTTTTGGTCTCAAGGTAGCCAAAGTAAGCGAAATACCATGTTAACACCCATAAGTCGCTATGATTCTATATCGTTTTGGTCTCAAGGTAGCCAAAGTAAGCGAAATACCATGTTAACACCCATAAGACGCTATGATTCGACATAGTTTTGGTCTCAAGGTAGCGTCGAGGGTCAGGTTTTTGGAGCCTTGGCGACTCTGAGGTTCAGATCGTCTGTCTTTGGGTTAGAAGAAGATCTCGATCCTACCCTACCCGGGTTACCCCCTCAACAAAAAAGCGAGGGCCTAGGGTTATATAAGAGTTTAAGATATCAATCCTTAGGGTTTAGGGTTTAAACCCCTAAAAGCAAGGCCGAATTCCTGAAAGTTTGGGTCTTCCTAGACTTTCGTGTACTTCAGTGCTGCGCCCTGTAACACCGGCCTTAACACGCAAGGGAGTGCATCGGGTTGAGGGGTTCTCATGCTACGAACATGCCAAGTAACCTTTGGCGGTGCAGAACAAAATCACTCCTAGAGCGGCCTTAATCATCATCTGTACTATTTGAAGGCTCCTTATTGAAATAACGGTATAATGACCCCAAGACCCTATTCTAATGATTAAGGCCCCTATACTACTACCAGCCTGGCCCTCTGTACGGCTTCTATCAGATATGAATCTCAAAAAACAACAATGTCGGAAAATGTATGCAACATCCCAGCCTATCTAATCTAGGGATACTTAAAAGGTACTACAATCCACACGACCGGCCTTATGGTACGCCCTGTATATGTGCTTCGAAAGAACTTGTTCAGCTACGGGCTGGAATACTTGTCAACGCAGTCCCGTGGGGGACCTCGACATAACTATACTGCAAAACACAGCCAAAACCCCAACTTAGTTCCTAAGGCCCTTGGAAATCCAAGAATAAAAGGAGGGACCCTTAATAAGGACCCCTCGGTATATACCCTTAATTTTGCTATTATATACCCATTCCCCATTAAGGGTCCCTCCTTTTCCCGTTTGAATATAACGGCCCCCACTCAGTGATAGTTGAATAATATTCATAATATAGATATATTCGGACCTTGACAGTAGCCCTATTGTAGACACTTACTGTATGGGGGGGCAGTACATAACCAAAACCCCATGTTAGTTCTTAAGGCCCCTCTATAGGACTATTGGGCCTCTTCCAAAAACAAACCGACCAGGCCACGCCCCGACAAGTCGTCGTGAAGGCCAACACGAACTTCGCTGTAATGGGGTCTAACCTGAAGTGTCGAGTTGGCTTTGGGCGAATGTCTTCTATGTGTATATGTACATACACACCCACATACATACATACATACATACATACATACATATATATATATATATATGTATCTGTATATATGTATACATATCTTTTCACCGTCTATCTTTATACCTGTCAGTCCTGTTGTAGTATTTTGTTAGTTATCTTCATCTTATTGATAACAACCTACGGTGACGAATATGATTAGTGATACTTGTCTTAAGTTATGTTTTCGTACATTATTATACTGGAACTTAGGAGTTCAGGGTTGAAGATCACTGAACCGTTTTTGAATGCTTTCGGGCTTGTAGGGTTGAGGGATTCTGACTTTGGGGGATTCCTGCGTAGGTATTGGACGTTTGCTGCAGATTGGACTGAAGGTTCTAGTACTTCAACTAATCATGCCAATGGAAGAACATTTGTCATGCTTGAATCGCTCGAAAGTTCGGGGGTTGATCGTGTCGGTAAGCCCTTTTTTCCACTGGGCTTGGGGCTAGCGAGAGCCTTGCATGCCCTACACCCGAAACCCTACACCCTAAACCTGAAGCAATAAACCAAAAGCCGAACGTCCTAAGCCCAAAACCTTAAGCCAACCCCGCCAATCCCCAACCCATGAAAGTAAACCCTACACCCCAAGCCCTAAACCCTCTAGACCCTAGACCGTGCACCCCCCAAACCCTGTAGTACTGTAGACCCTGTAGACCCTAAACCCTCTAGACCCTATAGACCCTAAACCCTCTAGACTCAAACCCTAAGCCCTCTAGACTCCAAGCCCTAAGCTCTAAACCCTCTAGACCCGAAGCCCTAAGCCGTCTAGACTCCCTTTAACCCGGCAGCGTGCGATGTCGCACCCAGGCTCGCACTTGCACCCAGTCCTGGGTCTTCGGATGTTCACAACATGCAGTCGCCTTAGAGAAAAAAAGGGCTTTTCCCCTCCTACCTAGCAAGGAGGTAGCCCGCATTGCAGGGAGTCTCGGTTGAACAGTTGAAGAAGCTAAGATTTCATAGCTAATTTCTTCAGGGTTTAGGGTTTTTGGTCACATGAGTCTCACTAATGGTTCAGGCTGTCCTGTCTTAGAATGATTGTCACAAAGGGGATTTTAACATGTGTGCTACACAGAAAGGCTAGGAATCCTACAAGTACGGTGAGTTTCAGAAAATCTAGGGCTGCCAGGATCCTCATTATGAGGACTGCCCCCTTCACCCGCTCAGAAAAGGCCGTCTTTAAGACCCTCAATATCGCCAGCATACAAACTTTACCCAAGTGTTGAAACTCCCTACAATCTACATCGACAGTACCCAAAATAAACACCAACCCCTAAACAAGACGCCCCTAAATCTCTGAACCCGGGCCACAGTTGCTTTCAAACGCCTGAAGTTGGGTCCAAGGTCTCAGGTTTTGTTTATGCTATGTTCATTGGTTAATCTAGGAGCCCTAATACTTAGACTCGGGCGTCCGGGGTATATCGTACCATGGGAATTTCATGAAACCTGAGCAATAGTGATTATGATTTAACTAGCTGGGGCTGTGAAGGCAGTTGAAAGACACTAATAAGCAGAATCCTCATAAGCCCAATAAGGGAAATGTAAAATGTCCTAAAGCCCTACCTAGTTTAAGCTTCTAAGCGACGAGCTTCAGATTTTAAGGCCAGGGTTCTAAGGTTTCGGAGTTTAGAGCTGATCATGCCCAAGTACCCTAAACCCTGAATACCCTATTTTGCATCTAAACCCTACAACCTACATATCCTGAACCCCTGAATCCGTTAACCCTAACCCCTAAGTACCCTGAACCCGTAAGCGAAACCACCTCCCGCAGCTCGAGGTCCCACTGTGTCCGGCCGCTCCAAGCTGTGAGACTGCGAAGCACCCCAAACCCCAAACCCGAACCCCTAACCCCTAGACCCTGAGCCCCCAAAACACCGAAACCCTTAATCCCCTAACCCTAGACCCTGAGCCCCTAAACCCCTACCCCCAAACCTTTAAACCTGAAGCCCTAAACCCCTACACCCTCGAACCCCCAAAATCCGAAACCCGAAGTCGCCGGGCGTCGCCCTGGCGCTGACGCATCATCGCCTGGTAGACCTAGTTCATGGTTGGGATAGGATTGAAGATGCAAATCTCTATTCCTTATTGGGTTTAAGTACCCATAAAAATGTAAAATGTTACAAAACTATGACAAAGAGACCTTGAAGGCAAACAACCTCCTGTTGCAAAGGGAGTACCTTTGCAAGGCGCAGGGGTTCAGGGCTTAAGACGCAGAGCCTGGGGTTTAGGATTATAGAAGGGCCTCAATAATTAGAATAGGTTTTGGGGCCAATTATACTAATAGTTAGAATAAGGACGCCCATAAAATAGTATAGGTAATTGTTAAGGCCCCTATGTTAGGTTTACGCTTACTGTCGGAGAGCAGGCGGGCCTGGGGTGTAAGCTCAAATGCAGGACGGTGTACTGGTGGATTCGTGGCTTTGTGACGTCTAGAGCTCGACTCACGCAGAGGCCGATTTTATGCCATTTGGGATGCCAACAGATCCCAGACATCCCAAACACAAGCCATGCATCTGCATATCTGAGTACAGTTCTTCATCTGAGTCAGCCCCTGCAGTCCCTTCATGTTAGCCCTGGAGGACAGTGAGCGATGTAAGGTAATGTGACCTCAAAGGTTGAAAACCACCCTTCAGCCAGCTCGACATTTGGGCTCAATACTTTCAATGGGGCAGGGGCGGGGGGCATGTCCAAAGGAATAAAACAACTGGGACTAGAATGGATTGCAAGGAGATTTTATTCCTCATTATTCAAACCTCCTGCAGTGTTTCAACGTCGGCCCCCACCCCAAGTCGCCCTCACGAGGACACAGCCAAGCGGCAGCCGATTTTCATACTGCACCACCTCCCAAGAAACGAGCAGTGGCAGAAGTGCGTGTTGGCCTACTACCGGGTCGTCGTGTCTTGAGTCTAGCCGACACAGACCACAGAAGTATGAATAATTGGTAGTCATAACATCTACTGTTCTTTTCCATTTATCATGGCCCCGAACCCCAAACCCAGTCACGGGCTTTTTCAGGCTGCTGCGAGGTACCGCTATCAGAGGAGGAGTCACTGTCGCAACAAGGCAAATTAGCATTAAGGAACCCTTACAGGGATGACATGACTAGATATTGCGGGAATGAAGTAATCAATCATGTTGAGGAAACCCCACAATCGTAGTGCCAATGGTAGTTGTTCAGGCCCTTGTATAAGCCCCCCGATGATGATGATGATGATGATGATGATGATGATGATGTTGATGGCGATGATTCCACCGTGAAGATATCATGAGTGGAAGCCTCGGGAAGCTTAAATTTCAATTGGCCCCAATACAGCACAGTCAAATAACTCGAGAAGTCCTCTAGGCCCTAAACCCTAACCTGCAATACAAAGGTGCATCCCAACCTCCAAGCGCAGCCTCTCGTCTTGCTCCATGTCGACCTGAGCTATATATCGCTTGAAGCCGTGTTCAGGGTTCGGTTATGGGCTTTTGAGCTTAGGGTCTGGGTTTGTCGCTTTCAGTTTTATGGATTCTGGCTACGTAGCTTTTAATTTTAGCGTCACGCGAATTCCAGAAACTCGAGGCACTAGCACAACTCTGCGGACAATAGGATCCTTAAGAACACGCCCGAAACCAACAGTTTTCAGAACCTCCAGCTACTACAACCGCAAAGGGGCGAGGCGGCCATGAGGCATCAAACATCTCAGAGGCTCGGAAGGCTCGATTTTTGTTTGGTTAAAACCGGACAGAGTCTTGATTCGTTTTTCTATGGCTTATTGATTTAGGTTTAGTGCCAGATCTTTCATCATTGCCGGTGACTGGTGTGCCGTGAATAGTGTATAGTATGCTCCAAAATTGGACGCCAGGGGCGTGAAACGTGTGCCCTTTTCACGGGAACCTCGGGAATGTTGCACAAGAGCCACAGACCAGCAACTGACGAACTCTCCTAGTCTCACCATCGTCACGGTCATCACCCTTATCACCCTCATCATCACCTTGAGCCCTATGCCTATACACGAGAACTGCAACATTAACCTCCATCCCCTCATGCATGCTTTTTGGCTTTAACAAGATCAGCTTCCTACCCCACTCCCTCAACTTGAAAGCTCATAGTACGGCCGCCAGGCGGCTCGCCCGCGGTCCAAATCAATCGCCAAGCTCCGAATGTTGAAGCCGCGCTTCTCGCCGTGAGAGAACCTGTGCGGCTTTTTCGGCTCTACTACTACTGCTACCTCCTACTCCGACTCCGACTGCCACTCCTATTCCTGCTCCTTCTTTGGCTGACCGTTGCCTATAGGCCCCGAAGCACAGGCCTTGAATCCTAGACCCTAAACCCTAAACCCTGAATCCTAAACCCTAAAGCACAGGCCCTGAATCTCTTGAGCTCGAGTTGAGGTCCTTTGCTCCCGACAACACTGACGCCACGCCATATCCCCTTGTGGCTCCTGTGCGATCATGTATATGGAAGTTTACCAAAATAGGGGGTACCTTTTTGGGGGATCCTTTTAATGGGGATCCTACTATTTAGGGTACTATATTAGGGTCCCCTATTTTGAGAAACTCCTATGTAGGGCAAGTGACACTGAGCTGATCGTCCCATGCGAGTAGAAAAGTTGGTCCACTGGAACCTCAGTTGGAGAAGCCCCGCCAGGCATGGCCACGTTCTTTGCAAGGGCGTATCCGCCAGTCTGTGATATAAGGTTCGCACGCCGCGATTGTACATAGGCAAGGCCTAATTTACGCTGACAGCTGTGCATGTTCAATTCTGTCACATGCTGTGATGGTTCCTCATGTTTCCAGACAGAGACTTTCATGGCTCGTAAAAGTACCCTAAGGCCTCAAAGTAGTTCCTTTCTGAGGTTCAGAATTATATAGAATTCTAATAGGTATTCTAAAAAAGGAACCACTTTGGGGCCTATGGGTATCAGCTAGTATCCAGTGACAAAGCCTCTGAGGCCCTGCTTTGGGAAAACAGAACTCCGACGTCTACCAACCGAATCAGCACATCCTTCAGGCGTGTAGTGATAGCAATAAAACAGGCAACTGTGCCAAGATGACAGGAAGCTCAATCGTAGCCATGCGGCCGTCGCACAGCCATACTTACAATTGCAGTTTCCATGGGTTGGAATACTGATGCACTGCTGCTGCTGCTGCTGCTGCTGCGGCAAGCAACGACGACAACATGATGCTGTTCGTGGTTTTGATTGTTGTTGGCATTGAGATACTGACATGGAGATGCGCATATGAAAGTCTGTTACATATGATACATTGAAAGGTTACTCCATTGGTATCATGGTATGGAAACAGAGAAATACTGACATGTTGATACATTGCAATGTTGCGACACTGGTACTGACACGGATGATGGTCATTATGCTCACCTTGTTCGTAACCTCAATAATACTAACACCGGTCATCATCATCATCATCATCACCACCATCGCCAACATCGTCAACATCATCATCGTCATCACACTCATGACCATGTTCGTATTGAGCCTCGTCAGTCAAAAATCGGGAAACAACACAGAAACCGTGCTTCTTCAGCTGGGATCCCGGCAAAATACTCCCAGCTTGTGCGCTCGTTCTGGCCGCTGCTGCTTCCATACAGCGCCTCAGAGTTGGGTTCCGGCGGGTTCAGGACATTCAGGGCCTAGCGAGTTATAGGGGCCTTAATGGGCCTTAATAGTTAGAATAGGTTTTGGGGGTTCCTTACTATAAAAGTGGTATAACGGTCCCCAAAATCCTAGTCTAATTTTACGGCCCCTACATTAAGGGGTGTAGGTTCTAATTTCGGGGTTCGGACTTGCCAATACGTGCATCGGCATGGGATTCGGGATATTTTCAGAGACGCTAAAACTGAAAAGCGGAATAGAAACTGCAGCCAAGTTTCCTGAGGACCACCATTCTCGTAGAAAATGCCTGGCCCCAGCACCCCACACTACATCTTCAATCCTAACCAAAATCCCAAGTTCTTCCTGAGGTAAGGCTCTCCAGGATTGGTTTCGATTCTGGCTTAAGGACGTTCGGAGTCTTGCGGGCGATGCCCTTGGCGAGACTTCTATTGTGTCACTCTGCAGAAACTGGATAGAAAGTCGTCTGATCACCTCGGCCCTCTGAGACACTGGTATCGAAAACTGCCGTGCCAGCGTTAACTTTTGGCAGCGATACCGAAGCAATCCCCTACACTGTTTCAGTAAGCAGTGTAGGGCCAAATTTGTTGCCATTCGGCAAGCCCTGCAATCTGAGTTGTCCCCCATACTGGCAGGCAGAAGTCCTGGCAAAACACAACCACCCCCCAATGCCGGAATTCAGGTTTGGGTATCGAAACCGTGTAGCCCACCCAGCCCTTGGTGCAGAAGCGGCAGCACTTGCAACCAGGGGGCGCCACAAGACTTCAACCACCTCATGCCTCAAGCGATGCTAAGGATACTTTCTAGATCTCTCTAGTACTGATAATACTACTAATACAGAAGCTACCGCCACTGCCGCGTCTACTCCTACCACTGCTACCACCATCACCACGACCGCTGCTGCTACAGCTAGTTCTGCTACTGCTCCTGCTACTACAACCTCGACGACGGCAACAGCGATGTTGAAAGGGACTGCGCCTGAGTTCGTGAATCCAATTTCTGAAATCCTCCGAAACTCGAAGCATTCCTCGATGGTTTTGCTTAGGGGAAGGTTTATCGGCACTTCAGGTGCATGGATACTACAACAACTCTGAATGCAGGCGTGGCGACGTGGTTAGTTCTGGACTGGCTCATGCTACGCCTAACCCTACATGGGCCAGGTTCGCTTAACCCTCCCTTAATCCCAACCTCTACATCCTGAACACTCAAGCTTAACTTGAATAACCATTTAAGGAGTCCTTCGGACGAACTTTCAAGCCTAGCTCGCAATCATTCAGAAACCCTTCTTCGTCCAAGTGTTTCCCCAAGTGCAAACCTTCCATTCACAACGCGGAGCTTGCATGAACATGCCGGCATGACCCAGGGATGCCCCCTTCCCTAAACCTAAAGTCCAAATCTCTATCGTCGAAATCTCGAGACGAAGGGGCGGCCCAGTGAGATTGCTCGGGAAGGTCTCCATCAAGGACCTGGCCATACTCGCCCGCACCTCACGAAAAAGTCAAGCAGTGTTGGTTTGGCCTTTATACAGGGTTTAAGCTCTCGCGGCTCGGACTCTGCCAGACGAGGTGTCTCGGTTCGCATGTCACTACTGCTTGGGTTCAAGCTGGGATATCAGAACAAGACCACAACACAAGGTGAGGCCACGCGCTACGCCCAGCTCCAAATGAAGATACAGGTTCGCTTTGGCCTAGAAGTAAAACAATGCCCACCACCACCACCACCACCACCAACAACAACAACAACAACAGCTACATGCCTCCGAAAAACTTGGTTGCTGCAGCAGTTGCATTTGTACATTGGTCCCTCAAGGCCCCGTAAGAATCAGTTAGTCAAGGGTTAAGGGTTTAGAGGCGGCTGTGCGGCTGTGACAGATGTTTGATACTTGTGGCCCATGGAGTACTGTGGCCATGTGTTCCTTCCCAACATCTGATGTCCCAAAGTCTGAAGCAACCACGGCGATTAGGTCGAGCAGCCTTCCACGTGACCTCGTCCTCCGTGCGCATATCCCGGGGCCGTGTCGACTCAACCGGAGACCTCGCAGGAGCCCTAAACCCTGATCAAGGGGCCTATTATACTATAGATATAACAAGGAGCCCCCAAAATAGTAGAGGTAATTTAGGGCCCCTACAGCGACCCCAAACCCTAACTTCTAAACCCTAAAGCCAAACCCAAACCCTACCTTTTCCTTAAGAAAGCCACAGAGCCGGAGCTCGGCTTCCCAGCTGCCCTGTCCTCGGCCCTAAGCAAGCCTAAAGGGAACTCCAGAAAGTTGGAATATGGATTAATGGTAGGATCCCCTATAATTTAGCATAAAGGGTTTAGGATAATCATATTCCAACTTTCTGGCTTCTACCTTACGGCTGAGCACTCCGATCACTGGTGCTTTTGAGGCACTCCTAACTTTAACATTAATGTCGTTTCTACTGTTACTCTAAAATAGTAATAGTAATACGGTAGTATCGAAACTAATATTATGGGAATGTAGTAATACAGTGAAACGGTAGTAATAGCATTAACATTAGTAACTAGCAGAAGCAATTCAAGGTAAGAATGAATGCTAAAGATAATAATAGCAATCGCAAAAACACCAACAACAATAATCTCAATAAGAAGAAGTATTAGTAATGGTGTTGTCATGCCTAGTACGCATTCTATGATCTTGTTTGGGGAGCTTTGCAAAACATGGGAGTTTCCCGAAAATAAGCGACCCTGATATAGAACCCTAAATAGTAGGATCCTTATTATAAGGACCCCAAAATTAATGTACCCCTCATTTTCGGAAACTCCCACATCAACTCCCGACAGGCCTCCGCAGTGCGGCAGGAGCGCTCAGGCTGCGCTTCGGCGCAAGAGGCCGGAAAAAGTTCGCTCCACCAGCACCTTCTTCAGGGCCCTACTTGGAGGATCATGGGACTTAGTAAGTAGGTTGTAATTGGGGTTATAAGTCCCCTAAGTGGGGTTATCCTAATTATAACCAACTTATAACCTTACTTACTAAGTCCCATGAGCCTTCAAGTACTTGGAGGTTCATGGGTAGTTATAAGCAGGGTAACTATACTTATTACCCGTATTCGGGGACTTATAACCCCACTTGTAACTACCCATGAACCTCCAAGTACCAATGAGAACAGGGTTTCCTCTCAACAGGGATCCATAAAGGTCTTTAGAGTGGGTATCAGGAGGGTTAAGCAAAGGGGCCGAAACAAGTAGAACAGGGTTTTGGAGCATATTCTGGCATCCTTATACGCAGGAACCCTGAGGAAGAGTAGTTGTGATGAATGTGATTTCCATTACTCTTCCTTAACAGATCCTTAGGGTTCCTTATGATAATAAGTATTACCTACACGCTGAAACCCTAAACCCCTTTTGAAACCGGACTTGATGACCCTAAACCCCTAAACCCTAGCCCGATCCCAGCGCCTTTCTGACCGGCCTGGCCATTTTGGCCGGCTTGGCTTCTGCCTGCGACCCCGGCGCCACCGGGCTGACCGGATCCAGGTCCGGCACCTCTGCCTGGCGGAGTTAAGGCGCGGAGTGAAGCTAAGCCAACAGCATACAGCTGCATATAGTTGTATATGGCTGCAATACATAAGTACATAAATTAATACTTATATATATATACACACACGCATACACATACACATACACATACACATACACACACACACACATACACATACACATACACATACACATACACATACACATATACACATACATGTACAAATACATATACATATACATATACATATACACATGAACAAAAGCATAGCTATACCAGTTCTTACATACATATATATATATATATATACACACATACATACATACATACATACATATATGCATGTGTGTGATAGCTGTAGAAGAACTAGAGCTCATAACTATACCTATCATCCTGATTAGTTTACAGGGCGCCTTGTCCTCCAGCTCCGGCTCCTCCACTTGTCCAGGCTCCTCCGGTTCCACCGGCAGCGTTGGCGTTGGCGGTCGCAGCGGCCGCTTCGGCTCCCCCTGGCTGACCCGGGCCCCATCCTGGGCTCGTCTTCAGGATCTTTAGGGTTTTGGAGGGTTAGGGGTTTAGGGTTCTGGGGGGTTAGGGGTTTAGGGTTGGGGGGGGTTAGGGGTTTAGGGTTGGGGGGTTTAGGGGTTTGGGGTTGGGGGGTTTAGGGGTTTAGGGTTATTGGGGGGGTTTAGGGGTTTAGGGTTTTGGGGGGTCTACTTGGAGGTTCATGAGTGGTCATAAGTAGGGTTTTTAAGTATGGTAGCTATACTTATAACCCATATTGGGGGAGTTATAGGTTTTGGGTTTGGGGATAGGGTCTGGGTGTTAAAGGTTCAGGGTTTGCTCTCGCAACTCGGACTCCTTCAGGGTTTAGAGGTTTGGGTTCAGGGGTTCTTGAGGATCTTGTCATTGACAACGTTACGATGAGAAAAAAGCATACTTCCTTCATGTTACACCTGCTCTATTCCGTAGCAGGAACCTATCAAAAGCATATCCGCTAAACCCAGAAACCTCATAACTAACCTTCAGAACTCACAACCAATGCCAACTACGGATAAGAAAGACGAATGACACCCCCGAAAGCCGAAAACCTTAACCCAACTTGGCATCTCTAAACCCGATAAACCCTAAACCCTACATAAACCCTAACCAAGCTTGACATCTCTAAACCCTATAAGCCCTACAAGCCCTGAACTCTAAGTAAATCCTAACCCAAAGGGTCCCAGGTACTGTTATGGGGATACTTCCCCAAATCATAATAGTAATTCCTATTATAGAAACCCTACATTCTACCATATAGGTACTTTGGAGCCTTTGGGTAACCAAGCTTGGCATCCGTCTCCATCTGCTCTGCCTGTCTGTTGTCCTCCACGTCCTGAGCCGGAGCCCGAATGGCTCGCGCCATGCGAACCGCCTGAGGAGCCGCCTCCGCGGAGTTCACATCTACGTTTCATGGGTGGTCGCGTACTGCAAGGGCTCCTCATAAAAGGGGTCTACAAGGGTTGCTGTAACGGCTAGGGGTTTGGAGTTAGGGTTTGGGGTAGTATAGGGGCTGAAATATTTAGAATAGTATTGGTAAGTATTGAGGCCCCTATATTACAATAGGGCTTGGTTCAAGTGTTCAGAGCTTTATCGCGAAAACATAGTCTGAGATTAGGGTTTACAGGACTTGAAGTCAACTTTTTCGGTGTTTCCTGGATCAATTTCGCTGGCCTGGGGCATGCTCTTTCCCTGCATTCGGTTTAAAAATTAGAAGGGTTAATGGGTCCTTCTTAGAATCTGCTAATTAGTTTTGTAAGGTTTGTCGGCAAGGGCTTCATATCACAGATTGCTCTGGTTTCGGGGTCATGGCGTGGGGTTGATGAGGATGCCAAGTTCCCAAGTCGAGACCTACAAAATCAAAGCCCTGTATGCATCAACACTCTCCATACTGAATGGACATGAAAAGTGTAAGGCTTTCAGACCGAAGCGCCCCCAGCCTTTAGCCGTGGGCTTCGGGACCCTGAACCCTGTTTGCAACACGCCTGCTGCGACCCTGAACCCTGAAGCCTCAGACTTAAAACACCCATGAAGAAGCTGCTAAAGGGACGAACTGATAGGTAGCTTGTGTGCACGTACTGGGTCATGTGGGGCATTAGGGTGCCCGAAGGCGATCCAGCAAACCGCTGAACGCAAGGCTTGCCTTGCTGCCGCTCTGCACTCTCTTCCTGACCACCCTCAGGGGCCTCGCAGCTGGATTCGCAAAACTGGGAAAGCTTAGAAAGCGTTTGGCGGGAGGTGCAGGAAAGAATCAGAGGACCCGAATGTGGACCCCAAAGAGCAGGATCTTGCGACAAGGAGGCCCCAATTTGAGACTCCGATGTTTCAGAAACCTCCAATTTGGAGCTGGGGCTTTCGGGTTGAAGCAGGGCTTGACATTCGGAAGTGGCGGGTCTAGGGTTGTTGTTAAAGTCTTTACGGAGTTTACAATGAGGTCTTGCAGGAATCGTCATGTTTTGAGGTTTCGGCAATGATGGAGTGTTCCAGAGCTCTGCAAACGACAGCTGAGTTGAGGGCTTCGAGTTTAGGGTGGCCAGCGCCACGTTCGAGGCCATGCTCGTTAGCTGCAGCATGACCCAAGCAATGTCTTACAATACGAGAGATCATCGCTGGGCGGCTCCACATGACAAAGGAATCCTTTATAATCCTTACAGTATCGTATCATCTACTACTGTAGCAGAGGAGAGAAAAGCAGTAATAGTGTAGTGTCCCTTGGAAAGGACCCGTCAAGGAAGCCTCAAAGGAGCGTTCAAACGAAACCTTAAACAGACCTTTGAGATCCTCGGTATCTACGAGGGTCCATGTATATACCCTAGTAGTGTATACTTTGGCCTTAAAGTACTCCGTGTATAGTCACATTGGACCCAAAGTATATACTATTTGGGCACGTGGACCCTTGGGGTATTACTCATAAAGGTCCTAGTGCCACTCGGGTCGGAGGGTTGGTGGGTTTATAGAGGTGTACAGACTATGCTTTGGGGATTAAGGGGTTTACGTAGGATTGGCGAAGGTGTTTCGGCTTTCGGGGTTTAGTGTTTTAGGGATCAGGGGGGTTAAGTTTAGTGACAGCTTAGTGGGCCTTTGTGAGCTACTGTTGTGTTTCGGGCGTTGAGGTGGAAGAGCGACTACTCATTACTTTAAGCTCCATTGTGGGCTTTGAAGTAACCAGGGGAGACAAAAGGATATGATTTTGTTTGTCCAGAATGTTTCCCCTTAAGTAACAGGTCCCAAAAAACCATTAAAGTATGGGGTACTCCCAAGCCCAGGTATAAGAACGAGTCGATCCTCCTCTTCGCCGGCTACGCTTGCGCTCCACCCACTTCGAGATTGGCCTGCCCCAAGTCATGGCTCTTGGGGTTTTGAGCTTTTGGTGTCCGTAGGGGTTTGAAGACATTTTTGGGGCTCGTTTGGGGGAGTTTCTCGGATCTCGCATCGAAGGCCTTTAAATTGAACACTTGGAGCGTTTTGAGGCCGTTTTTTCGAATTTCGACTCCCGGTTCAGGTATCTTTCCCTGGAACCCAGTTACCTTACCCTAGGGCTCCAGTTACCTGCTGGGGTACATAATATATGCCTAGTAACCTACTGTTTAGGTAACTGGAGCTCTAGGGATAATTGAACTTTTGGTTACTTCATGGCTTGATGCACTAGGGTCGGTAACCTGCTGTAGAACCTACTCTCTCGATAACTGTGTTTCTACGGCTGGGTTGTGATTATGTCGGGGGGTGGGGGGCAGACTCCGGGGAAAATGGAATCCAGGAATCCTCCGAATCGGGTGTTGGTCATCATTTGTCCTGTCATGCTCTGGCGGAAATAAAACCCGGGAATCCCCAACGAAACGAAGCTGCTTCATTGCTAACCACCAACGTCTGAAGCGTGGCCCCATGCCAGGCATCTAATCAGAAATGCGTAAAACCAGACCGAATTGATGTCCTCTGAAACAACGCGCAAGAGCCTTCGATTGCGGGCAAACCCATGTCCGCGACCCCGGCCTTGCCAAACCATCTACTCTCTGAATCCATGACTCAATCCCATAATACCTGCAAATGCAAAAAGCCTAAAGGCAAGGAAACATAATGAGGAACCCTAGAAAGGCAGGTTTCTCAGCTGGTAGTCGGCCCGTATTGCCAGAACATATCGTAAATTTTGCCTTAACTTGTATGACGGATCCCTCTTCAATTTGAGGTACATTGCTTGAGTAGAGGTTGCTTGGGGTCTGTGGTACCCTTGTAGTAGCCCTTATAACCTTATTCTCACGTATTGTAACCCAAGCAGCACCCCTAGAGTAATGGCCTTGTTGACCAGTGCCTTGGTGCCCGCCGCCCTGCTTGGGAGGAACCTGACCTCGCCCCGTAAAATAGGGGCCGGGATAGTTCGAATTAGGTTTTGTGGTATCTTGTAGTCTTCTTGGTCTTGAAGGACTGTATTGGAGTATCTTTATAGCCTCCATGTAGGCCTTAGGGCTTGGGGAGTGTGAAACTGCCTTCCAGTTCCGAGGCTTAGGGGTCTGAGTCGTGGTGTCTAGCAGCTATTCCCGAGAAGATTTTGCGGTGCAGGTTCTTCTCAGACGTAATGCAGTGTGACATTGCGTTCGCCGGCAATCCTGCCCCTTGCGTGGGAGACAAGACGACACAATCGGGATACGCCCGGCCCAAGATGAGGATGGTACTAGTAGTGATGATCGGTTGTTTGAACTCCGCTCAGAGGCAGCTTCCCTAGAAAAAGCGCGCAGCGTCTAGGAACAATGACCCTCGGATTTCGAGGAACACCTACTCAACTCATGCACACAAAACTCTTAAGCACGGAACCAGACAAGTTAGACCCACACATCCTAAGTAATGAACCCCGAGCCCTGGTCCCGTCATTTCGCCGAGAAGCCAGAGCCCCAGCCAGTTCCCTGCGCATTCTCGGCATGGCCTCCTTTCGGAAAATGGTCCGAAGGATTAGGGATGATACAACAAAGGTGGTCTTGGGGTTGGCAGTTGGCAGATCATATGAAAAGACTGGGGCCTTCGAACCTATGCCCAAAAGCGAAGTTGTGTTGCCCTTTTGGCAGAAGCTGTTGTGCGGGCGGAGATTACGCGAAGTCGGACTTTAACGGCCGGAAGCCTTGAAAGCTGCAAGTTCTGAGCGGCACCGCTTCTGTAGTCCCTGCTAGAAATGTCCGAAGCTGTTAATTATGTCTCCCCTGAGGCCGGAATCTTCAACGGCCAAAGAACTTACATAAGCCGTGAGCCATAGTTTCTCGTGTGCACTTCATCCCATGGCCGGGTTCAAGTAAGGTTGCTTGACACTGGCGTGCACAACTCGTGCTGCTACCCTCCGATCGATGCGTAGAGGCTGATGTTGGGGGTCATGGCAACTCGCGGGGTCGTCGCAGAAAACAGCACATGCACACACTTATGTACGGCCTAGCATCAACGATCCTTGTCGAATGCTACGTCCATAACTAGCACTGCGTTTGTATTCATCTGTCCGTTTTGGCAACTGTTCAAGAGCGAAGAGACAGCTTCCCAAACTGTCACAAGGTAGGTTTCGTTTGTGGTTGGGATCTCCTTTGGAAGGAGCTTGAAAGGAATTCTTCGAGCCACTAGTCCTAATCTAGGGGCCTAAATAATTTTAAAAAATCTTATTATAATTACTGTATAATGGGCCCCAAAACCCTATTCTAACTATTCAGGCCCCCTATATTACTTACTGCTACTTGTGGTGCCGGGCCACCCTGACCGATGCCTCCGACGCAAGGGTCCGTCGGACCTGGCGAGAAAGCACGGGTTTTAGGATCTGCCTGGAACGCTTCAGTGGCTAAAAAAACCGGGGCCCGCACGAAACGGGGCGACTTCTTAAAAGATGTGCGAACCGAAGCTCCCGGATAATGACCCAACCCAAGAACAGGCACTGTGACCATTATCAGTAATCTTGTGCCAAAACCCACATCCTCTGCCATATATTTCTGGCTTCGAACTGAACAAACATAATTTTTCCCAAGCAGTTCCTTAATCCCAGGTCGATCGCAGCTGCTCTTGTGCATCGAAGCACCATGAAGCACCACATGCGATACTTTTAATTCATGCTGTGGTACATCGCACCATACACATTGTCGTATCATTCCTGAGTATATACATACGAACACTATCATATGGGCAGTCGAGATTTTGTCTTTGACATAGATTACTCTGAAGGAACTGATACTTTGAAAATTTGTGGGTATATAGATAAGATTCAGAGAAATCCTTTGTTAGGACCCCCATCGTACACCCGAACAACACAAGGCAAGCATTATCAGGACCCCTATCTTACACCCGAATCACACTATAAGGATTTCTTTTGTCGTGCTCGCTGTGCGGTGCTCTCGACATGTCGGCGAAGCTCATCCTGAGATGAAGGACCGAGGTTTGGGGTTTGCGATCGTGCAATACTTTATAAATGGGTTTTTTAGACTTTGTCAGGACTTTCGGGGGAGATCGTGGACGAGGCTTTGATGGCTTTGTCCCAATGGGCTTCTCAGCAGCATTATTTGCGAGCATGCTTTATTATACGCAATAGTTCATACATGACTCGCCCACTCACCTAAGGCTTCCGGTGGTCGTGGCTACATGAGTGAGCAAGAAGTGCCCTGCCACGTTTGCACTGGTCCTGCGATTTTGTCGTGAGCCGGCTTTGTGCGGTTTACATGTGATTGCTGCAACATGTTGGGGTTCAAGCTGTGTTCTAGTCCTAGCGAGCTCATCTCATGATGATGGCTGATGATCGTGTCGAACGCCTGTCTACACGGCTGGAATCCCAGCCAATTTTGAGGAGAAGATTCAGGAAAGGATTGGATTGGATCAAAACGCCTCCTGAAGCCCTTGGCGACAATACTTTGCTTACAACCAATGCCTTGAACTTGAACTTCAGCTCCCTGCGAGAAACCATCCAATGGATGTCCACCCCGAAGATCTCGGTAAAGACCCTGGAGCCCGAGGCCCGTGATTAAGACGATCAGTCGGATAGTATTTTTCCCAATCGATTTCTTGAACCCCTCCAATCCTGTGCAGGTCAAGTCGCTCTTCAAGAAGATGAACCACGTGCCGGAGGAGAAAAGGCAACCTTGGATTGATGCCTGGTCCATAAGGACCATGGTCAGCTTTGCTTTGAAACGGCAGAGAGATTCGGAGCGACGGGGGCAGACTCCCAAAGCTACTTCGATTAGCAATCAGTTGTCAACGGTGCATGATAACATGTTGTGGAATTCGGTATTATGCTTGCTACATTAAGGAAGAGAATGTTCGCAAGCTGTTCAAGATCATCAAGCGCCGACGAAAGGAGTGGGCCAGAGCTGCAAGCAGGAATCGACTTCAGGAGGAGGAAGATGAGCAGGAAGAGGAATCCGGGGAGGATGAGAATGAACCAGAGGAGGCAGAAGATGATCATGAGGATAAGAAGGGTGAGGGCAAGGGGCCCGCACACGGGGCCGCAGATGACAAGGAGCAGGAAGAGGATTCTGCCGGGGAGGGGGAAGGAGAGGAGGAGGAAGATGTTGATGCTCACGATGCGATTGTGGAACTGCCCGGTAGTGGTGGAAGTAGCAGCTATGGAATGCAACAGAAACGTGATAAGCTCGCCGAAATCAATGCCCAGATCGCAGAACTACGAGAATCTTTGATCGGGTACTTGGACTGCTTTAGTTCTAATCTTGGTAGCAACTGACCCTGGTATACGTCCGAGAATGTCATCTTACGGCACAGCTTAAGGCACCCGAAGCCGGCTCCTACATTGCATCCTGGCAGCTCGCCCGAATTCTTTTTTCTAGAATACGAAAGATGCTATATAGTACCTCATATATGACTGGCAGCTGCGAGGTGAGCCCATCCGCATCGATGACAGCCCTGAACCCGAACGACGTCCTGCCCTTCGCCGTGCTCGCTCCAAGCGACCCAGCCCAGGAGCCAATCCTGATGAAGAGGCGGGCTTCTTCTGTTGTGAGCAAATCATGATTTGGGAATTCAGTTGTGGTCTTGGGTATGGTAGAAGGACACCCAAGTATGGTCAAGCTGCCGACGAAAGACTTCGGCTACTTTGCATGGCCTCTCCTCAGCCGAGACCCTTGTGTTGCCGGGAAAGCCCTTGGACCGAGTGGAGCCCGAGGTAGGTTCGCTAATATGCATATGAAATGTGCTGTGTATGTATGTATGTATGTATCAATAGTCAAGAGCTTGCTTGTCTAGAATGCATGGCTTGAGCTGGCAGGTTTCAGAGCCGATCGTGACTGCCCAGGAGCAGAATGCTTTGCGAGCACTGAAACGTCCTGCTAAGCGGGGACCCAAGGGCGGCCCAAAAGCTAAGGCCAAAGCTAAAGCAAAGGCTACAGCTAAAGCTAAAGCTAAAGCTAAAGCTAAAGCTAAAGCTGCTGCTAAAGCTACTGCAAAAGGCCAGGGGAAAGGATGCAAGGGCAAGGCTGCTTGCAAAGCGAAGGCGAAAGCGAAGGCGAAATCGAGGGCGAGATCCAACGATGCCGTGGAGGCCCCGCTGGACCCAACGGCAGGCAGCGAGCCTGCTACCAGCCGTGGCCGAGGACGGGGAAAAGGCAGAGGACGTGGGCGAGGCCGTGCTGAGGATGTGCCAGCAGCTCCACCAGCTGCTGAGGATGCAGGTGCCGTGGTGCCAGCAGATCCAGCAGATGCTGAGGATACAGGTGCGAATCCGCCGCCGGCAGCGGCTGCAGATGGAGAAGCCTGTGAGCTGGGATGCCCAAGGTGCCGGTGGAGCCGTGGAGGCTGCCTCACGTGCCGGAATCCCAGCTACGTGTATCGAGGAGTCCGTGGACGGCCACGAACCCGAGCCGAGGACTAGGTGCTCAGCTTGATCAGGGGAGCTAGATCGACTTTTCAACGGGGTTTGCCACATGATGTGCCATGCTTAATTATTTGGGGCATGCTTGGATGCACAGGGAAAAGAACCTTGTGTGTCAGTGCATGCAAACGTTCCCTTATGGGGTTCATGCAAGTGGTCCCTCACGCCAGAATCTATCCATGTTACCCACATGTAATAAGTACAGCAATCAAGGGTAGTATAGGGGACCACAAACGCATTCAAAAGCTGTGTAGTGTAGCCCTTTGCTGCCGATCCTCCGAAGTGTGCTTTCGCGAAGAAAACGATCGAGATTGTAGTCATCTGAAGTGCAGCAGAGTATCATTCCATCATCGGTCATTTGTATGCAGCCAGGTACAGCCCGATGAGTTTCGCATGGAGGAAGCGGCAACGGAGCACGTCCTCAGGTGCCACGGTTTTGCTTTGCATGATTGGGATTATGGCTTTACTTTTCTGCTATCGCTCCCGTGTACTGAATGCGATTGCTCGCATCAGCCTGTCAAGCTTCAGCTTGTGTGTTTACATGTCACGATCATATATATATATCTTGATCATCCGATAGTGAACCTTGGACCCGAGAGCCATGTGATTGGGAGCCATGTGGTTCTGCCATCAAGTATCCGCAGCAGCCGTCCTCGAGATGCATTATGCACTCACGCATCGTAGCTTTGCTTACTTTATACAGATCAGAAAAAAACTATATCCCAGGTTCTCTTGATTCTGGTCCTGCTTTTCTTCAAGACGGAGGGCTCGGATCTGGAGAAGGCCCAGCAGTGCAGCAAGTCGGGTGTACCAATATTGCCAGCAGTACAGTACTTTAGATTCAAACAAAGGAGACTTGGAAGTACTGGGCACCTCTGCCTGGTTTTCTGATTCAACTACAACAAGGACCAGCCTCATATCTGCGAACAATATATGGGTGTCTCTACGTCTATCGCTGCCTCACTCTCTCTCTCTCTCTCTCTCTCTCTCTCTCTCTCTCTCTCTCTCTTCTATCTATCTCGATGCCTTTCCCTTCTGAGGCTCTGCGGATTCTGGAGCTATCGCTATTAAGATGCTGGACATGCAATATTCGAGCAGCACGGGTCACTACATGCCGGTGTGTATGCTGCCGCTTGCACTTATCATATCTGTCTTTTAATTCAATCAGTTTTAAATCAAGCTCCCATCGCACCGAGGTTTATCTCCAGGCCTTCTGGTTCTGGGGTTTCGGCTGCAGACCTATGGCTTGTGGAAATGGGTACTGTCGGAGCCTCTTGCTTGCACTGGAGTTTCATTATCCTCAAAACATATCAACAGCCCTCCCAAAAACTACATTGCCCAACACCTAGGAAATCTGCTTCGGCAACCCCATGGATAGATGCAGATGTGTGGCTATCCTTCCATACGGATGAAGCTCAGTGGCAGCATCAGCCCAATCAGGTAGGCAGCAGCCGTAGCTACCTTGTCTTAAACAAGCTGTCAACTTCTCTTGGGCAGGTGACATTGGCCTACGGTGGAGTCGGAGAGTTCATCTACGAGGAATTCCCAGGATGTGCGGGTCGAAGCTGAGACCACATTCTTAAGGGTTTTGAGGCAAGTTCTAGCACGTAGTTTCACAGGCTGAGAGCTTGGACTCTCTTCGTGGCAGCAAAGGAACGGGTCGCATGGGGGTGTTAAGGGTCTATAGTTCAAGCAAATTAGAGGTTGCCGTATTTCTAGAAATCGCCAAATTGAGGAGGTGTTGGTTGTTATGTTAGATCAAGTTCGTATTGGGGTTCTACAGTAGATCGCTGGCATTCCTGAGAAGTAGTGCACAGCTTCAGTTTGAATAGGGCCAAAGCTAAGACTACGTAATACTTCAAGTTCTCCTAAACTCGCAGTCGTAGGCGACCTGTTCCGAAGACACTGGATGCCCTGAAGCATGT